GGGCTCGGGCAGCTGTGGGGGGCTGCCCAAGAGGGAGTCCACAGTGCGCTGTCATGGAGAACTGTTCTGTTTCGTTTATAGTCTGACAAAAAAATGAAGAAAGTCCGTCTTTTCTCAGCTAAAAGCCTTTTTTTTCTCTCTCTTTCTCAGGGGACCGTGATTAGGGTGTTTTCCATTCCAGAGGGACAGAAACTCTTTGAGTTCCGGAGGGGAGTTAAGAGGTAAAGTACATAAGCCTCCAGCATTGACTCTTGGTTCTCTTTGGGTTCAGTTTTACGTGGCCACTGGGCACAAGGTGAACGGCAGGCGTGTTCAGCCCAACTGGACGGTCTGGGGGTAAAGGGACGTGATTTAAGGCCGGCCGGACGCAGAGCGATGGCCAGATAGGGGGGCAGAAGGACTGGCAGAGCCGGGCGGTGTGTGCCCTCCACCTGCTCTGCGGGCGGCTGCGGACTCTGACCTGGTTCACAGGCTCCGTCCTTACTCTCCGCCCTGAGAACTGGAGCCGGCCCTTCCCCCCACTCCCCCGCCAGCCAGTGGCTGCGGCTCTGCCTTTAAGACAAGCATCCCGCGCTCCCAGGGCCGAGCCTAGCACGCCTCCCTGCCTCGGAGGAGGGGCTGTCCCGGTCACCCCTGGGTCCTCTGCCTCAGGGCTCGCGGGAGAGATGAGGACCCAGGCTCCAAAGCCAGATCCCGGGGCCCCGCTTGTGGCCGGTGACCTGGCTCAGCCGTACTTGACTTCTGGGGCTGGCACCAGCCCAGTCAGGCTCTGGTAGAGCCCGCCTCCCGGTCCTGAGAAAGTCCTGCAGAGCCTGTCGCCGCGTCCTTTCCACCCTTGTCCCTGTCCCCCATGGCCCCCAACCTCGTGCTGGCATCCCTCCCTCCCTGGGGCAGTTCCCACAGATGCGCAGTCAGCTTACGTCCTGTCTCCACAGCCAGGCGTCCAGCCCCGCTCCCCTCGGGTCTCCCCTTCCCTTGCTTCCCTGCCCCGCTCTGCACCCTGCCTTTGCTCTCCTGCCCCGTTTCCCCTGTGTCTCAGCACTGCCAGGAAAGCTCTCCTCGCCCGCAGCCACATCCTCCTAAACGCGCCCCTGCCTGCCTGCCCATGTGCGTGTGGCCCAGGCTGCTTTCCTGCGGTCCCCATGCTTCTCCCGCCCCCGCCTGCTCCCACGCCCTCTCGGTAAATACTGCCACTGTCCCTCCACCCAGTGTCCAGCCAAAGGGACTCCTTCCCCTCATTCCATGCACCTGTCAGGCTCAGGCATGCCGGCTTTCCCGGGGCCGCCCCCACTGGCGCCTCCTCCTCTGTGTCCTGTCCGTCCTCCCGCCCTCTGACCTCATGTTCCCTGTGGTTCTGCTGTCGGCCCCATCAGTCCTTCCTCAGACTCAGCCCTGGCTCTTCTTTGGGGGTGAGAGCGCAGGCAGAGCACCCCCATTTGGACCCTGTCACAGCCTCCTTTTGCCTGTAGGACTAACCCCAAACTCCTGCATCCTCAGCTGCCACCCAGCCTCTGGCCCTTCGTTCCAGCTGTTTTATTTCCCTTCCTGTTGCTCCCGGTCCCAGCCACACCACGTTGAGCTCCTCAGAAGAGCAACCCCTGTCTCCACGGGGACCTGGCCTGTGCTGTCCCCGGTGCCTGGCTGTCATGCTGGTGGCCCTTGGAGTCTGCACCAGGTGTCCCTCAGGCCAAGCTTCCGGCGGAAGCACCCCCGCCCCCCACACCATGTCTGTAGCGACTCCCACATCTGTGCTAGCGCCCCCTCACTGGCAGCGGCAGGGCTGCACGCACCTTACTGGGACAGGCACGGGGCTGGGCGCGGGGCGCTCCTCGCTCTGCACCGAGTGACTAGGGACCTTCCTGTGGACGGGCCACGCGTGCTCCGGGGCTGGGAGGAAATGCAGGCTATCTGCTGGCTTTGGGTTTTTACAGTGAGTTCACGATGTACTGTAGGGAGTTAGTGTGCTGAACGTTGAAAGTTTTACTCTATTAAACATCATGAGAGGCCAGTTTACCCTCTGCATGTTAAGAATTGCTGTAATTTAAATGAAAGAAAATTGGCTGTTTAAGAACATAGGACAGAATTACTGTCACTTGCTGTCACGTTCCCAACATCTTTCTCTCAAAATGTTTGAGAAGGTGACTGGAGGAAGGAGAGCACTCCAGCAGCCACGCGGCTGTCGGGGAACTGTCCTCCCCTGCGGCGATGGTTACAGGCCCCTCGGGAGGCTGCTGGTGGCCGGTGGCCCGGGTGACAGCTAACCCTACCCCGCCCGCAGGTGTGTGAGCATCTGCTCGCTGGCCTTCAGCATGGATGGCATGTTCCTCTCTGCCTCCAGCAACACAGAGACGGTGCACATCTTCAAACTCGAGACTGTGAAGGAAAAGTGAGTTGCAAACATTCGATTGTTTGAAAACCAACAGAGAACTTTGTCCAGCTCACACTGACGGGTGAGCCCGGGAGCCCAGACTCATGCTGCCTCCTGCCTCCTGCCTCCTGCCTCCTGCCCGGGCAGGCCCTGCGCGGGCTCTGGATCAGTGTCCCCACGTCCACACGCGGCAGGGAGGGATCTGTCCCCGTGAGGTGCTCTAGTGCGGGAGGTGCTGTGCGGGAGGCGGGCGGCAGGGCGCGAGGACTGCCGCGGTCATTGCAGGCGTCTGCCTCGGCACGCCCCTGCGCACAGAGGCAGGTCTGGGCACACTGCCCGGGGCCGGGAGCGCCGTCGCCAGGCTGCCCGCAGTGGGCGTTTCTAAAGCAGGTGATGTGAGCCGCGTGTCACTGCAATGGGCATGTGCGGCGAACAGAGCGCTGCTGCTTGTTCCTAACATGTGAGCCTTCCCCCCGGGCCAGGCTTGCTCAGGGCACGCTCCTCCCCAGGGAGCACCTCAGTAACCTGCAGGTGCGCGCAAGGTGAGCAGCGGCAAAACGGGCTGTGGGGAAGGAGCCACTTGAAAGTGGTGCTCAGAGGTTTCCGAGACTCTTAGACCCAGGGGTGCTGTGAGTGGGGCCTGCACGTCTCCTGTTTGCTGCAAATCATTTCCGTAATCTCCACAGCCACGTGGGAGGGCAGGCTGTTCAGAGGCTGTGGTTTCTGCCCCTTTTCCTTGAAGGAGGGGGATTTCTCTTGAGGTTTCGGGCTGATCCTTGTCTCTGTGGGTGGGCGGGGTCATCTCCGGGAGTCACGTCTCTGCCGACGCCCTCCAGGCCGCAGGAGGAGCCCTCCACCTGGACCGGCTACTTCGGGAAGATGCTCCTGAACTCCACCAGCTACCTGCCCTCCCAGGTCACAGAGATGTTCAACCAGGGCAGGGCCTTCGCCACCGTCCGCCTGCCCTTCTGCGGCCACAAGAACATCTGCTCCCTGACCACGTGAGTCCAGGCGAGCCTCCCTCCCCTTGGCCTGCGGCGCCCGGGTGGTCCCCTTCGATCCTCCAGCCTGAGAACAGTCGCAGACTTCGGCCTGCCATGGAGCCGAGGTTTGCGTGCCGCGGGGACCCGCAAAGGGCACGTGATTGTCAGAGGCGAGGGCTCCTGCAGCTCCTCCCTGCAGAGGCTGCCTGTGTCTGGGCTCTTGTGGCGATAAGTCAGGGCTGGGAGCGCTCCGCCATGGCCTCGCTGTGAGTGTGGGTGTTGTAGACGCTCTGTGCCTCCTTCCTACCCACTGGCCTGGTTGGAGTCTCATGACACCGCCTGCCCGTCGCAGTCAGGGAGCCGGGAGACGATGCTGCCACCTGCTCTCCCCGGGGCGCCGGCGCTTTCCCACTGAGGCCGCCCTCGGCTTCGGTGCTGGGGTCGCAGTAGCACAGAGGGTGCGGTCTTGGTGCTGCACACACGTAGCGTGTCCTCACTCAGCGACATCTGTGCTCGCGTTGTGGGGGCAGGGGCTCCCCTGACCTTGCCAAAGGCGAGGCTGCTAGTTCAGTAACCACAAAAGCTGTGGTCCTAGGACGTGGCTGCTTTTCCCTCCACCAGAATTCAGAAGATCCCCCGGCTGCTGGTGGGCGCGTCCGATGGGTACTTGTACATGTACAACCTGGACCCCCAGGAGGGCGGCGAGTGCACCCTCATGAAGCAGCACAAGTAAGTCGGCCTCTCCCCATGCCCC